ACTAAATAGGTTTTTTTCCCCTATAAGTGGGTTTTACTTTTAGTTTTGTCCCCCTATATAGGGGGTTTTTTCACTATATAGTTTTTGGGCACAAAATAGTGGGTTCCCTATAAAAATGGGTTGGGCACTATATAGTGTTTTTCACTAAATAGTGTTTTTCCCCTAAATAGTTTGTTTACTAAAAAGGTTGTCACTATTTTTAGTGTTTTTCCCCTTTAAAATTTTTTTCACAAAAAGTGTTGTCCAAATGTATTTAAAAGTTTGTCACATATAGTGTTTTTTCACTATATAGTGTTTGGGCCCCTTAAATAGTGCGACACAAAATGAAAAAAAATTTGTGTTCCCCTATAAAAGTGCGAAAAAACCCCTGGAAAAAATAGTTTTTTGTTCCCCAATATAAGGGGCGACAAAAAACGAAAAAAAAATAGTGTTTGGGGCAAAAATATATGCGACAACACTGAAAATTTTTTTTGTTGTCACTATATATGGGGACCACTGAAAAATAGTGTTGTCCCCTATAATATGCCACCACGAAAATAAAAAGGGGTCACTAAAATAGTGTTGTCCCTATATATGTTTTCACTATAAAAGGGGTCACTATATATTTTTGTCACATAAAGTTGTCACTAAAAAATGTTTCACTATATAGTGGGTTTTCACAGATAGTGGTTTTTCCCGGGATGGGGTTTTTTCAAAAGGGATAGGGGTTGTCACGTATAGGGGTTTTCACTGTTTTTAAATTTTTTTTTTCCCCAAAAATAGGGGTTGTCACTATATATTTTTTTTTGTCACTAATATTGGGTTTTCACTATATAGTGTTGTCCCCTATATAGTGGTGTCACTATATAGTTTTTTGGGGCACTTTTAGTGTTTTCACTAAAACCCGTGTTGTCACTAAAACATGTTTTTCACTATACAGTGTTTTCACTATACAGTGTTTTTACTTTTACATGTTTGTCACTAATTATGTTTTTCACTATATAAGGTTTTTCACTATAAAAGGTTTTCCATTTTAAAAAATTTTTTGTCACTTTTATAGTTTTGGGCACCCAAAAAGTGTTGGGCACTAAAATATTTCGACCCACTGAAAAAAGATAACTGAATAATGATTTTGTTCCTTCTCCGCTTTAAAAAAATCGCGACATTAAAAAACCAAATACTCATTAATAAGCATTGGGGAAATTCCCAAAATTATCAGTTCTTTCCCCCTAAAATTTAATATGTCGGGGAAATATTCAAGGTCGGGCGGGCATTCCCCTTTTATATTAAAATTCCGGGCCCCGGGGGTTTAAAACTTGGAATACCCAAAAGGGGCCCATTAGAAACAAATTTGCTTGGGAAAAAATTTTTTGGGCTAGGGGAAATTTTTCGCAATTGACCACGCCCTTTTTTTTGCGCTTTTTGAAATTTTTAGAAAAAAAATAAACTCCGCTTCTAATTGGAATAAGAAGCCAGCTTTGGTTTAAAAAAAAAAGTTGTTCAAATCACACTTTTGGGGGGGTAGAGCAAAATTTTTTAAAGTAAACAACACGGTTGTTGAGTTGTGACCACACCCTATTTACCCTCGCGATCATGATTTTCACACTAAATACAAATAAATCCGCTTTTGTTTGAGCTACGGCTAAACCTGGGCATAAAAAGGGGTTAGAATCTCACATGATAGGGTGACCACAATTTCAAAGTCCTCTATTTCAGTGTTGATTAAATTGGGCCCCCAACCTTTTTTTTTTTTACGCTCTCGCGGGTAGCGTTTCAGCGCTTAAAAAATCAAAAAACTCAGCCTCCAATTTGAATTTAGGAGCAAACCCCGGGCACAAAAATTTTTCACAATCATCACATTGAGGGGGGGTAAACGTAGTTTCAAAAGTTCTCAGGCCCCAGGTTGTTGAGTTATTTGGGCCCAAAAACCTAATATTTACCCCTTTTCGCGAGTCGCGAGTCGACACTTAAAATCAAAATAACTCGGCTTCTGTTTAGAGTTAGGAACAAACTTGGGGCATAAAAATTTTCAGAATCACCCACATTAAGGGGGGTAAAACTAGTTTAAAAGTTTCTCAGGCGTCGGTTGTTGAGTATTGGGCCCAAAACAATAAAATTTCTCTCTCGAAAGTCGCGAGTTGAAAATTTAAAATCAAAAAAAACTGGCTTTCTGATTAGAGTTAAACTAAACTTGGGCATAAAAATGTTCAGAATCATCACATGAGTGGGAAGAACGTATTTTCAAAGCCCTCAGACGTCGGGTTTGTTGATTATTAGGGGGAAACCCTATTTTTATGCTCCGCGAGCAACACTTAAAACAGATAACTGGTTCCTGATTAGATTTTTGGGAACAAAATTTGGGGCAGGAAAATTTCCCAAAATTATCACATTAAGAGGGGTAAATTTGGGTTCAAAGTCTTCAGACGCGGGTTGTTAAGTTATCGACGGAACCCATTTTTACGCTCCCCCGTAGTGATTCTATGTTTTAAAAATCAAAATAACTCTGCCCGATTAGAGTTGGGAATTTAAAAAACTTGGGCATAAAATGTCCAGAATTGTGAAATTTTTTAGCCCATTTAGTTCCTAACTCTAATCAGAAGCCGAGATTTTTTTGATTTTAAGTGTCGACTCGCGACTTCGAGAGGTAAATATTTTGGTTGGGCCAAAAAACCAACAACCTGACTCTGTGACTTGAAACTACGTTCTACCCCACTCAAATTTTTTTTCTGAACATTTTTATCCCCAAAATTTTTCCTAATTCTAATCAAAACCGAGTTTTTTTGATTTTAAGTGTCGACTCGCGATCCGGGGGCATAAAAATGGGGTTTCCCCCTAATAACTCAACAACCTGACGCCTAAAATTTGAAACCACTTCTACCCCACTTAATTGATAATTTCTAAACATTTTCCATGCCCAAGTTTTTTTTCCAACTCTAATCAGAACCGATTATTTTGATTTTAATGTTACTCGCGAGAGCAAAAAAATGGGGTTCCGCCTAAAAACTAAAACAACCTGCGTCTGAGGACTTTGAAACTACGTTTCAATCCCACTAAATGTGATGATTCTGGACATTTTTTATGCCCAAGTTTAGTTCCTAACTCAAAATCAAGCCGATTATTTTGTTTTTTAAGTGTCGCTCGCATTTGCGAGAGATAAATATTATGGTGTGGGCCAATAACTCAAAAACCGACGTCTGATGTTTTTAAAACACTTCTATCCCACTAAATGTGTGATTCTAAACATTTTTATCCCCAGTTTAGTTCCTAACTCTAATCAGAAGCCGAGTTTTTTTAAATTAAAAAAGGCCCAACTTCGCGACTCGCGAGAGCATAAAAATAGGGTTCCGCCAATAACCAACAACCTAAAACCCTTTAAGAACTTTGAAACACGTTCTACCCCACTAAGGGATGATTCGAACTTTTTTTGCCCAAGTTTTTTCCAAACTCTAAATCGAAGCCGAGTTTTTTTGATTTTAAGTGTCGACTCGCGACTCGCGAGAGCGAAATATTATGATGGGGGCCTAATAACTAAACACCTAACGTCGGGGATTTTAAAAATTCTTCTACCCCACTAAATGTGATGTTTTTTGACTTTTTCTGCCCGGTTTTGCTCCTAACTTAAATTTTGGAGCTGAGTTTTTTGTTTTAAGCGCGCAATCCTACCCCCCGAGAGCGAAAAACGGTTTTGGGGGCCTAAAAAAAACTCAACAACCTGACATATGAGGACTTTGAAATTTTGTCTACCCCCACCAATTTGTGATTTTTGAACTTTTAAAAAGCCCCGGGGACACGTACTCAAACAGAACCGAGATTTCTCGTATTTTTTTGTGAAAATCATGACTCGCGGGGGTAATAAGGGGGTGGTCCATAAACTCAACAACCCGATGTCTGTTGACCCTTTAAAATTTTGCTCACCCCCAAAAGTGATGAAACGAACAACTTTAAAGCCAACTGGCTTTTAATTCCCAATTAAACGGGATTTTGATTCTAAATTTCAAAACGCCAAAAAGGGGGTGGTCAAATTTCGCAAAATGCCCCATAGCCCCAAATTTCTACCCAACCAAATTTTTTTTCTAATGGGGCCCTTTAGGTATTTCCAAATCCAACCCCCGGGGGGGGAAGTTAATAAAAGGGAATTCCCAATCCATGACAAAAAAAAATATTAGAATATTCGATTAGGATAGCGGGAAAAAATAACGCATTTGCACGCTTTTCGCAATTAGGAAAACAATGAAAATGGTAGTATTATTTTTTTTTTTAAACCGTTTTGCACAGCTAGTGGGACTCGGACTAGTTTTTTCTTTGTTTTTTGGAGCACGCATCAAAAAATTGAACCCGCCCACTGCTGTTTGTGAAACACAAGGATTTGTTTTTAGAATCGCCGACCAGATCCACCGCGATGGGGCCAAACTGCGGGAACAAAGGAGGACGGCCTCTGCGCTAACAGTCAGGAACTAAAAGATGAGGCGGGAACCAGTAAACGTGCTTTTACTTAGGTCTTTAGATTTAAACGCAATCCACGGAAAATTTTTCCCTTCCCTTATGGAATAATAGGAAAATAACAAAGGAAAAACTATTTCCCTTCATTTTAATGCAAGTTGAAAATGTTTTTTTTCTGAAAACAACATCAAACGAATTATAAGAATAAAACCAAAGAACTGGCAATAAAAAGCGGGCAAATTTTTAACCCCCCCAAAGCCTTGCACGGGTTACAACCGACTGGAAAAAAGAGAATCGGATTACTAAAATTTTAAAAAAAAAACCCCAAATTAGGCTCCTAACACGTCGGATATGGGTTTTAATCGCATTTTTCCCACAAAAAAACTTCATTATTTCTCAAGTCCCTCACTCTTAGATAAAATATA